AAGGGGAAGAAAATCTTGTAAATGAGGACACATGATACTGTCAGATTAACATTAAGGTACAGTTCACATGCCATTACAACCCCAAAACTAAAAACTATATTTTGTGACCATTACTTATGTAACCAGTTTCATTGGTGATTTCAGTCTTGCAAACGGTATTTATATAGTTCAGTTTTATAGCTCAGTAGACGTGGAAGTCGTGCCCCAGGGCACAGAGCAACAATTCAGAGAGATGGTTGTGCAGTTTTTGACTGCAGCTTCTCAAGCCAAACAGTCTGAACATGACCAGTAGCTTGGGAAGGAAGAGGGGAAAAACTAGTTCCACAAAGCTTTACTTGTCTGCACCGCTCCTTCTAGATTTCTCAGAGTTCAGACCTAAACTTGAACTTATGTAAATATGCACTTTGTCATTTGGTGTACAAACTATAACGTGGATAAAATGGTGTGCATTTAGAAACAGGACAACACACCGAAGGGAGCCATCTTTCTAAAAGGCATGTGTGACTTAAAAGCTGCCTGGCTGCCCTTACACTAACATCCACTGGGATGTGGAAAATGTGAGTCACACAGCCAGTGCAGTGGAGGTGGCTGGACGTAGTGTGTAGGATGTTCAGAGTGAGAAACATGACCGTCTGCCTCACTTCCTGTTCAGTGAAACACACTTATTCATTGCCAAAACAGACGAAGGCAGAGATAGAGGGTGGCTGGGGACTACTATGTCCTTACTGAGACAGTGGCCTGTCCCCTTTTCTCTGGTTAATAACTTACCACCCACCCTCACATTCAAAGTAGGCGACTGGGGAGGACCATCCAACAAATATCTTCCCCCAGGATTACAGGCAGCTGTCCTTTGAAGAATTTCTCTGGCTGTGCCTTTGACTGTCTATCAGGAAAAACTTACTCTAGCTGAATATCGTACTACTTCATGAGCTGTGAGGACAAAACCTGGAAACTCAATAATGATTTCAAGATTAAATGAAATTACAGTACACAACAATATAATGAATAAAAAGGGTTTTGGCCCTCTGGGCAAATGCAACACCTGAACATGTGGGAAATCAGAGGCTCCAGAGAGAGTGCGAGACAGAGACATGATGATAACCCATGGTTAGCACCTAGAACCACCTGGGGCCTGGGGGGGCAATACTCAAAGTTGCCATGCAACTTTGAGTATTGCACCATACACACATGTCATGTAAATGATGCACACCCTTAGCTGTGGCCAGCTGGCCTCACCCCATCTTATCAGATCTGACCACAGGCACCACCTTCACACTGTCACACACACTCTCTGCCTAATTATTTAACATGCACATTATAAGCCAATGTCATTGTCAATTTGTTTGCTTGGTAAAATGATGAAAAAGGACATGTTGGTGGTGAACATCAAATACACTTACTTTATCTAGTGACCTCTTGAGCTGGTAGTGGAACTTCTCCTTGACCTCATCCAGGAGCTGTTTGAGCTTCTGTTCCTCAGGTGTGCCTTGGTATTTCCTGGCCAGCTGCAGGTAACAGGGCCACTTGGCTGAATCGAAGCCCCAGTGGCAGGTCCTCTTATCAGGTGATTTGTGTGAATGCATGACAAACTTCTGTGGTGAAAAAAGCAATTGGCACTCAACACACTGGATGCAGGGTGCCTCAGGCTGAGTGTAGAACTGGGGCACGAATAGACCCTGGCACTTTCCCAGACACTGGTGCTCCACCTGGAAGCTGGTTTCACTCTCCTTCAGCAGGCCTTGGGCAGACAGTTTACCACTTGGGTCAGCGGGCAAGGCTGCTCCAGGGCGAAGCAGAGCATTGCACAAGCGCTGTGCATCCGTCAGAGTAATCAGGCCACAGGACGGCGCATTGAACGGCAGAATGCCCAACACCTTGAGGATGTGCAGCTGCTCTGCATCACAACGTGAGCAGTAGACATAGAGCTCGTCACATACAGTGTTGATTTGCTGTAGCGAGAAGTCACGAAGCACAGAGTTAAGCACTTGGGGCAGACAGAGACGCTTTTCTCCCCCAACAACAAAGCAGGAGATGGACTCCCCTTCAAGTAGTGAGTGGGTAAGTTCAGTGGAGCTATCACAGGGAACCAGCAGGGGGCCCCCTCCCAGAACTGGAGGAGAAGGTAAGGGTGGCATGCCAGCTGGAGAATGCTCGTGGCCAGTACGAGCTGAGAAGGCAGCCGGGCCCCCAAGAGAGCTCTGGCTGCTGAGAGAGAATTGGGCCAGGGTGTGTTTAAGCCCTGGGCTCAGGTCCAAGGCTTTAGCACAGCCCACCAGATGTAATTCAGCTCTGGCCGCCACATCCATATTGGAGTTTTGGCACAGATCCTCAGTCTGCTCTCTCTTCACTTTGGGTGTTTTCGGGACTGCATCCAGGCTGCGACGCTTAAGGTTGATTTCAGCCATGACACGCTTCTTGATGGGTGCGTCTTCCAGTCGCTCTCTGTATAGTCGTTTCATGTTGCCCTTAAATGAGGTCAAATCTTTGAAAGGGGTTTTCATACTGGTCTGGGTACTGGCCATGCCTGAGCACTTGGTTATTGACGTTTCTGGCCACTGACTAAACTCTTATGTTCCACTTTTCACCCCCTCCTTATGTCTTTAAATTGCACAAATCTTCTGGTGGTTATACACATGCATGTTGGGGACTGGGACTTTCGGAATTCAGATGTACTTCCTAGGAAAAGAGAAGAGAATTAATCAGATTAAAATATTTAACACATTTTAACCTATCATCAAAAACCCACTTTGTCTGCCCTAATAGCCAGTTGATACACAGCATATTATTTGTACTATAGTATACCTCCCTCCTGGTATTTGCCTTTCTGTTCCAGAAATATACAAAAAATAAAGATTTTTAATGTTGACTTATCCTAAACTAATTATCAGTAATTGTGATTAATTTAGGTCATGGTTAATCAGGATTAATCCACATATACCCTGTGATTATTCATGTTTTTTAAAAAAGAAAATTTGACAGTATTTTAAAGAAAGAAATAAAAAGATAAAACATAAACTCCTCAAATAACATGGGCCATAAAAACACCATCAGGACTTTAAATGTTTTATGACTGCTTCCAAGTTGGGGGCTGAAGAGGTGACTGACGTGGAGCACTAAGACAAATGGCCACTGCCATACTTCACACAAACACAGGGTTTTTTCAGTCCTTGTAAATGAACTCCAGGGGAAATTTGCATTAAGGTTTTCACTCAAGGTTTTGAAACAAACTTCGTAGCACTAAAGTGAGAATTTTAACAAGCAGAACCAGTTGACGAGACATAACAAGGTGGGTGAAATCCCCCACCGACACCCCCTTCTATTACATTGTTAATTCGACACCGACTCACACAATACCCAAAAACATTGTAGTTTGCAAATGAAAGTGCCCTTCCCAACTATACTTGGTCTGCTTACCCCACGCTGACCCCATCAACTCTGTGAAAAACAAATGATAAAAGCACTAACAGCAGTCGCCCCTTCTCCCAGTCATTTCACAGCTTGACACCGAGGAGCGTGGAAAGCGCCGTTTTCGCTTTTATGAAGTGGTTTTACTGTCGGATTACTAAATCTGTTGATTGAGGTAAACAAAACTTAGCTGGTTTTCCCATTATAAAACGCAGCGTAGTTGATAATGGCTACTGCTGCAGTATGACACCAAGAGAAATGGCAGATTCAATTCATCAGCAGTAAAAGGCAACAATCAGCTTTGCATCCATCCTCCGTAGCGCCGTGCACACGCATCAGATCAAGATACAATTGTCAATGGGAGTTAAAAGAGTTTTTACTGAACACGAAATGTGACGAGATGTGGACGCTGATGCAGATTTCTGTATCCCGTCATCCTGTTTCCATCGACTGACTGACACGCTGCAGCTGCTGCTGTTATGCAAAGCAACGACTGGATGCCGAAACGTTTTTTTAGTGTACCATACCATTTGGAAAATAAGGAAAAAATAAATAAATCTGACCGCAAGATTGGATCAAGAATGAATAAATTAAGAGGTTGCAAATTCTCCGCCGATACTGGAGGAGAGCGGTTTTTGAAAATAAATTAAGAGGATGCACCGTGGTTCACCGTGGAGTATTATATATATTTCCCACTTTGGGATCATTTTTTGCTGCAAGGACGCGGCAGAGAACAGCGCTTCTGCTCTGCTCCAACCCTCCCTGAGAGCCCCGACGCTCCTCCTCTCCAGACTGCAAACTGTTCCTCACCTCCTGCGCTGGCTCGCCACGACAGCACTGGTATGCAGACAGCGCTGATAATGACATTCACTGTCTACTACAGTCTGCTCTGTGAACGCACCGCGGACGAGCGTCACACACGCACACGCGCACACACACACACCAGCCGAGGGCATAGTAGAAGACCGCAGCTCCCCCCGTGCGTCGAACAACCAAACACATTAAAACAAATGGCTTGTGCGACAGTTCCTTCCTTAATTCCATTTACTCCATCATAATATTGTATATTATTGTATTTGTGAAATATCTAATGGTCTTTTTTTACAACGAACACAATTATGTTTTTTGGTAGTCATTTCTAATGGTTTGTTACAATAGTCATACCAAATGGACCTTGGATTTGTCCAATCTAAGAAATTAAAATTATAAATACACCATAATTATTAAGGGATTTAAAAAGGTAACGCATTCGTGTGACACGATTTAAACCGTAAACATAAAGATGTTGTGACAGAAACCTTTCACACTGACGTACAAGGACACCGTAAAAACGTCAGTATATGTATAAAAATAGAACCAGAACCAGTTTTATTTTTTTAATGCTGAACGTTGACCGTGTTAGCTTTGCTGAGCTGCAGCAGCTTACCCTTGTTCACTCGGCTTAAGGTAGAATCAAACACCAGGGTCAGCGTTTCAAAAGCAGGCTAACTCAGCACCGGTTCCCCTGCGCGTAAGAGCCGTAATAAAGCCTCATCGGTCGGCTGCTACCAAGCGCACACAAGCTGTCCTCTCGGATGGACGAGGATACAGACCTATTACAGAACGTAGTCGGTAAAACACACTGAATAAAACGAGTAGCAGGCTGCCTAACCCTCAGACATGGAGCGACACGACAAGCCAAGCTTCCCCCTTCTGTCTGTCCACTGCGGCTGAATACAAACTCGACCGTTAAACGCTCGAGAGCAGGTATCAACTGCCGACAACCAAACTGATCAAAAATACATCCAGATAATGTTTTTTTTTTTAAAAGAGAAAATAAACAAAAAGAAGAAGAAATAAACCCGCACCTTACTCTTAGTGTATGTTTCTCCTCTTTTCTCTCTCTTTCTGTACGCGAGCCGTCCTTTCCTGTTCAGGGTCTCCTCTACACTGGAAAAGCCTGGCGGAGCGTCAACAACACGCAGCCAGAGGCTCCACTACAGCCCAGTAACGTCACACTGCACACGGCTGAGAGGCGGAGACGTCACCGGACTGACGGAAACAATGCGGGGGTGTCTCTGCCTGCCTGTCCGCCTCCATGTCTGTCTGTCTGTCTCACACAGTCTGGCTCAGGTTTCCTCCGTCAGTAGGCAGGGCTGTTACCAGTAGAAGCAAAGGACATTTCAAGTAAATCATGGCGACATAAAGAAACACTGTGCCTCTGGGTCTAACACTAATTTATACTGATTTATAATTTATTGATTCATCTTAGTATTGTACAGCCTTTTAATCAGCTGTAGTTTAATAAGATGTATCAATTTAAATACCTCAAAATAGCCAAAGAAACTTGAATTCTGACTTTTTTAGAAATAAAACAAATAATATATATATATATAATTTGCTAATTTCAAATTGCATGATAAAACTGGAAATGTCATAACTTCCAAGGCTCGACATGTTCAGTTCCACAGACAACAATATTGTGAATAACTCAAAATGATAATTAAAAAAAAATTTTGACAATGGAACAGTTGTCTTATCAAGCCCATAAGCTTCTCATTGAAAACATATAAGTGATAAAGACAGCGTCAGAGAGGTCAAGTGTGAATGGTGGTGTAAATGGTGGTGTAAATGGTGGTGTGCAGTAGGTCAAAAGGTCATATGGTCAGTCTATTGTGCGCTTTCTGATAGTGATAGTTAATAAAATCTGTGTATGAGGAGGTTAGAAGCTAGATCATGAAACATATCTCCTGTGTTTTGTTTTTTTTATTTGAATGTGATTTGCAGCTCAGGCCATCTAGTCTGAGTGTACACTATCATTTGTAACCCAAATCTTAACCAGTCAAGGTTATCATGCACGGTCTGTGTATGCTTGTTTTTTTTTTGTTTTCTTTAGCTGCAGTGCATCCTGGTTGACTAATCCAGAGTCTGATGTCATGTGTCTGTGAGAGCACAGGCTTGATAAAGCTTTGATAAACAACAGCAGCCGACCGTTTGACTGTAGCCTCACTCTAAGAGCAAGGTCAGCAGTTGTATTATGAGAGCAGATGTGCCTAGACCCCAGCCAGCCCCAGAGAACAACGCGGGGGGCATTGATTTCCCTGTAATAACATCATTGTGGACTACAGGGAACAGATTAATCTCATATGTGCAATAATGTGACCAGTGCTGATTGTTGATGGGGGTTATGAAGGAAAATGCTGAAGTATGATGGAGTGTTGATGGGGGGGTGGGGTGTTCAGGATTCACAGACAGAGAGTAACACACATTGATAAGTCTGTCCATTAGCCAAGAATCTTGTCTAACTGTTATTGGACGTAGTCTTAAGTGGGCCCTGGAGGCAGACACCTCACAGTTGTTCTCATAAACCCTGTCTGGAATCAATGTGGTTATATTGAAACATGTCATAGGTTATTCTCTGGATATATTTGTAATTTGGTGTAATGAAGATAACTGATGTGGTGGTTGGGGCTGTCAGGTAGTCATTCACAAAGTTGTGTGCTTTTTAAAGGGAATATTGGAGTATGTCATACTTTTAGTTACTAGTACTAGTCTTTAAAAAAAAGGCCAGCTGTTCCTGAGACTGTCAATTGTGTCCAGGACACACCTGTCCCCTTTCCCCCTGGACATGTTTTTCNNGAAGCTCTGTGGGTCCTTTTTCTCCGTCTCTTCCCCGATGCTCAGGAGACCCCAGGCTCTACACAGTGGTTTCTGTTTGAAGCCCCCGCCCCCTCTTCTATGACAGGCATGTCCACACACACCTGCCCATTCTGTAGCAACATTCTTCCTTTACCACACATTTGACCCACTTTTTTTATTCCTGATGTCCCAGGTAGCTGTCCTTAATGATTTAATTCAAGAATGATAAATGTTTATTGATTTAATTCAAGGGCTGTTCTTGTGTAAGGTCAAGGTTAACAGTTCTTATTTGAATTCTCTTTAGACTTCGCAGTGTCTCATTTTAAAGCCAATGTTGCTGTTTTCACTTCAGTGTCAAAGGGAAATGCCAAAAGAAGGAGGCTAACACTACCACCATTTCTATTAATGCTTAAAATGCATTTGAACACAACATATAAAAGCAAAATGTGCAGGAACTAAAGCAAAATCCTGTAATAATATTACAATGAATCCTTGCAGTTTCATTATTTAAATTAAATAAATCAAATGGAATTAAAAATAAGCAATTTGTCTCATAGATCCAACCATCGTTGACCCAACCATCACCAGGACCAGGCCACTCAAACTGTGTTTATAGCCTCCCCTACAGGGAAAAGCTGGTAGCTGCATGTTTATTCACACCAACTTAAATTACTCATAAATAATATTAAAATAATTATTAAAAATACAGTTGTGTGAAATGCAACACCAGAATTTAGTCTTTCACTTTAAATTCCACGTCTAAGTTTAAATTGTGTTTGTTTTTCTTACTTTAATTTAGAGACTGCAATTAGAAATAGATGTTTTATTCTTTAAGATGCTTTTACTCTGTTATTTAATCTCTGTTGTCACTGTCGCTCACATGGAGGATGAAACATGTGAATTCAAGTAGTGAGGACTAAGAATCATTAGCTCAGTCCTGCAGCCTGGTGTGTTCTGGTGAACGCTGGGTGAAAATGCTCATACGGTTCCAAGCACAACACTCCTGCACCTTAAACTGCACTGTGTGTTTTACTAAAGCTTTGCATTTAGCACCAAGTATGATTCCTGCGCTTTCTAATTAATCCCTTCAGGGACGGAGTAAAACAGCCGGTGAGATAACACAAATTAAAACAGGATGTACTTCAGATCCTCCTTCCTTTTACATCATTAATTATACAAGGTTAGCGTTCTCCGTGCCTTCCACAGGGCACTGTGCAGCCACAGTGCCTGGGGAGTCGCACCCCCATCCTCCAGCACAGAGGGCACAGGAATAGTGTCAAACACACCACCCTGGGAATTCAGAATTATGCAAAAGTATTTGTCCTCATCGTGCTGCAGCAACGCAGCAGCCGCCCTGTGGAGTGGCGCAGGCAGAGCCATTTACCATCACCTCCTGTGAAATTAAGACAATGGTTTTGGTGGAGCAGGCTCACACAATAGGTTTTATATTCACCATTGTGAAACGTATTGCTGCTTACAAATCAACCCAAATGATTTTTAAGACATAATCGTTTCCAAAACTCATTTCTTTTCTCCAAACCATTCAAAGCCCAGCACGGCAGAGCAGAGCCCTGTGGTGTCACTGACCTTTTTAACCATGTGCCTCTCTAAAAGCTGAGCCAGAGTCATGTGACCAGGAGGCAGGGTGGGAGGGAAAACTGAAGCTTGATGTGTTTTTTCCAGACGCTCATGTGAATATGAGAGCGCAGGTCTAGTCTGGAGTCTGAAGTTACAGCAGACAGGAATGAGGACATGGAGATAGTTGGGGGAGGTAACAGCAGAGGAGACTAGATAAGTCTGATTACCAGCAGTGATGACACGTTAAGGAAAGAAGGAAGGAAGGAAGGAAGAAAAGAGAAACCAAATACCAAAAGAAAGCCAAGAAGAAAAAGGAAAGATAAAATGATCAAAAAGAAACAAAAAGACAGAAGGGATGTCCCAAAAACAATAGCAGGAAGGCAAAAAGAAGGACAGAAAATATGTCAAAATGAAATAATGACAAACGGAATAAACAAAATCTTAAGAGCCGCAAAAATTAGACAAGATGGAAGAAAAATGGCAGAAACAAACTGAATAATATGGTAAAAGATTTAGAGGAAAAAAATAGAAAGATCAAAAGTAAAATTGTAAAATTACAGTTTGCATGAATTCATCAGCTCTTCAACACCAAATCTTGACACAAATGTCCACATGTGATGAGGCTTTTCAACGCAACAACACAAACACGGGATGTAAGCCTATTAGGACCCTCGTGACCCTCGGCCCATGTGTACCTGTCACTCTTCACTCTATCTCAGCTGACCCACTGTCGGTGCAGTGATATTATGGCTCTACTTTATTCCCCTTCTTTTGACTTTGATATTTTTTACTTTTATTCCCAGTGTCTTTATGAAAACATCTTATTTTCTGTACTATCCATTCATTGAATGCCTATGTATGTAAAGTGATTTTACTTGTTTTCTCCCAACCCTTAATGGTGAATACTTATTATATTTAACTTCATGAAAACCTCCTTACATCATTCATCATAGTCAAAAACATTACCCAATAATGAATTACCACCAAGAGGGAAATAAAAGGTTTATTTTTGAGTTTTTTTTCTTTTCCTTTTCAAACTAATAATAAAGTTCAGTAGAGTCTTGTGGGTGGTAAACATCTCCAACACAACAAGTAATGTTGTGGGGTTCCCCCAGTAACACCTTGAAATCAATGTAGAGATTCAATTTCAATCAGACTTAAATCAGATATACAAAAAAAGTAACAATAAAGATGTGGTGTAACAGATGAACAAGTTCCTCCTGTCACCGTGTGAGCCCAAAAATATTTTCCAAGTAGCGAACCATCTCCTGGCGGACAGTGTGTGCACAGTCACTCAGTGTCTATACAGCTGTGGCTCTTTACAGCTTTTGTATCTGAGCAGTTTTACAAAAATCCATCACACTGCAGGTCAGACGTGGTAAAAATGCAGCACAGTAGACACAGGCCGCAGCTGGAGCTGCACTTCGATGTGACTTTGGAACTGAACTTGTTTTAACCATTTGTAGTGATGTACAATTTAAAAAAAAGCCTACGTGGAATGTAGGGTACAAAAAGACAACAGACGGCAACTCTCGAAAAGGCATAGGCAGATTTTAAAACAAAAAAGCAAACAAAGAATGAATATAATTCTATATCAGAGGACAGCACATCTTTCATACAATTACTGTACCTTTTAATATGTACCAGCGAGACATTTCTTCAGAAAAATGTTTTTGGTTTTTTTTGGTCCTGTCTCAGTGTAGTGTATTTTTAGTGTATATTTGAATGCACAGCAAAACGATCTGTGCTCCAGCGTCATTGTAGTGTGAATTTGTTTCACTTCCAGCCCAGTTTCTGGCACAGTGACCTCCTTTTTTCACAGTTTGGAGAACATTAACTCAACATTAGTCTTTGTTCTTACACCGCTGCTGAAGTTCCTTCATACTGGATTAAGAGGCTCCCTCTAATTTCCAGATAATAATCATTCATCTAAAATAAACAAAAATAAGCCTAAACCCTTTTGGTTCTGTTAACACTCAGAACAACATATACACTGGCTGCTATATCTTTAAATAAAACATGAAAAATATATAGCTTTAATTTTTTAAAATGCTAACAATATGATTTTTTTGATCTCTACAGAAACTGTATTGGGACAAAACTAAATCTGATATAATTTTATGACAACAAACTCCTCACTTTTGTCTCATAAACTGTGGTTTAAAGCTAAAAAAGAAGCCTTTTCTAACGGTTATGTTTTTTGCAGAAGTAACAGAGTAGGTTTTTATATACATGCACAGAAATTGTGCAGTGAAGACGTCCCACCAGCTGGAAGAAGGAGGATGTTGGCTTCATCTGTCTGTCCCCACATTACAGCAACCTTGGAAGATCTCTGCAGCCTGGCCGCCCCCGCCCCCCCATGAGATAATAACATCAGTGCAGATTTACATGGTAGAAAAATAATTAAGAAATAATGTTGACTTAAGGGCAAGTGGTTAGAGATGGCAGAGTGTGAGACTGGTTTTGGCAAATAAGCGTTCTACTGTGCATGTGCAGCAAATGTGTTTGTCTCGTTGCCATGTGGTGCGATGACGTGGGAACACCACATCAGATAAGTGGTGTGGGTGGATGTGTGTGTGTGTGTTTGTGTGGGGGGGGATGTGTCTCAGCACAGACAACACTCCTGTCCCTCAGACACACTCCTCTGCTGACATGAGGAGTGGGTTGATGTACTCAAACCCTTCAAACTCAGACTGGTCAATCTTCCTCACCACGTCGCTGCAGTGGACAGAAGGGAACGTCAATGACCAGAATTATAGTCAACTCTCAGTAAGACGAATAAAATGTACAAATGGACACTCACTCATCGTCTGGTGTGAGCTGGATAGGCTCGTTGGTGAACTGGGCGTCAAAGTTGTCCAGTCCAAACTCCCCTGAGATGTTGGGTTTAAATGGAGGCACCACCTGCTTCTGCTCCAGCTGGAATAAGAACACAGGAAACAGATTGGAACACAGTAGCCTTTTATCTCCACTCATTGACCTTTAACACTGAAAATCAACTGTAAACAATAAAGACAACATAAGTATAATTAAGTGTACCCAAAAGATAAAACTGCATTAAAAAAAAAATATATATATTTTAATTATTTTCAGAAGTGCAAAACTAAAACTTAATTTAGTTGTTGTCTTCACACAATACTACTAACCAGCTTGGAAGTACTGCACTTGTGTGTAACGTGTTGATTGATGGTTAGGGTGAGGGTGTAAAACGATCCGCTCAGACACTATGACCTACTGCTGAGTCCCTGCTCCAGACCAAACAGGGAGAGAAGTGGACAGAGAGAACTGTGTCTGTCTATCGGTCTGAAGTTCAGTCTGTCTGTTTGTATGTGTCTGTCTGTCTGAAGGTCACTTTGTCTACATGCGTGTCTTTTTGTCGGTCTGTGTCTGATTGCCTTTCTGTGTGTGTGTGTGTTTCTAAAAGCCTGTCTGTGGGCGTGAAAGTAAAAGGGAGGAGGTTGAAAGCAGCTGACAACAACTCACAAGATCCCAATCCACATTTCTGAAAAATGGATGACCCATGATGTCAGCGAAGCCTGTCTGAGGGTGACAGCCGAGACGCTCTTTGGGATCCTGAGGGAAAGAAAGGACTTAGTCAGACAACTGGTGAAAAAACCTGTGATAAGCTGAGAATATTTTTTGGTAAAACAGTGTGATGAGGTGAGACATGAGTAAAAATACTGCATTTAAACCAAAGACTGATGTTATGTATATGTGTAGTAAAGAGACATGGCTGGGTGTCTGAGAGACAGGTTGTGTTGTCACTTCTGTAAAGGCCAAGAGCAGCTGAGTTTTTGACCGAGTCAGGCGTCTTACCTTGTTGAGAAATCCTTTGAGAACACTGGCGGCTTTGACTGACAACGAGCGGGGAATTCTGATCTGTTTTTCTAATATAACTGTAAAAGAGAGGGAGCAGCAAAAAAAAAAAGGGAAAGTGAGATATTCGGGCATTCAGTGAAGTAAACACGTCAGGCAGGAACCCCTAGTAACAGACCTGCGTTTCAGTGTTTCCACTGAAAAAAAGGAAATTCACATAATTCCTTTAAACATAAAGGAAATTCCCAGTAACAGAAAAATGCAAACAAATACCACTCTATATAAACGCTTCTGTTTAGTTAAACCCTTGAACTTTAAATGTAGGTGTTTACCCTGGAAAAGGTAGTCTTCTGTGTTCTGGTCCGGGTTGTCAGAACTCCCCACAATGTCAAAGGGCGACCGGCCAGCCATCATCTCGAACATTAGCACCCCCAACGCCCACCAGTCCACACTGAAGCCTGATGACATACACATTTACATCGATATCATCAACAAGGAGCTGGCAGGCCAACAAACATCCCATGTTTAGACATAAATGTTGCAGGTATTCATTTTGAACTCAATTCTAATTCTTGCACAGCATTCAAAATATAATGAATATTTAATGGCTTTCCTTGTGAGCGTTAAACACAGTAGCTTTACAGGGCAGTCAAATGTATTATGGTCTTCAATGATTACTTCAATGCAAAACAGGGTGATCAACATCGCAACAGCTATTATAAGGGTTATAATTTAGACTTGTTTAGCAGCCTTTGTGGCAGTGTGAGCTGCTTCACACAGGAAAGGAAGGAAAAATACAAAAAAAAAAAAAGAATGACAGAACTGATGTTGTACATGGAATATTGACTTTCGGTGAAATCCTCCACTGGAAAAGTCAAAATGTTATGTGCATAAAAGCTGAATATTTAACTGGACTTATAAAGGTACTATGCCACATTACTGATACATTTCTCCAACAGTGGAACTTGTTGCTATGATACCACTTTTTGGTAACCAGGGAGCACTTTCTATTTTTATTATCTTGTGTTTATGCATGTGTGTATGCACACCGTAGAAACAGATTTTACTAAATACTTGCAACTGCAAACATTTGCATGTGACCATTATCTGATTTTATACACAAGGGATCTGGTATTGCTTTTGTCCCCCCTGTTAAATTAATTTAATCTGCAAACAATACTTAAAACACTTGTCTTAACAAAAGTGCATTTTGTATTATAAATAAATTCTCTTTAAAATATTATATCTTGTGTAACAGATAGACAAAAATACTGTGCTTATAAAAGCAGCAGAGCCAGAGGCAAACTGAAACCTCACCACCAAGTGTTCCACCACGTCCTTACCGTAATCCTCTCCTCTGAGTATTTCCGGGGCGATGTAATTTGGGGTACCACAGAAAGTGCTTGTTGTGTCACCTGGTCTCAGGCCCTCCTGCAAAAGCCAACAGGCATTTTTAGAAATGTCACCATCTAATAGCATTTAACATCGAACGCTTCATAAACTCTTGCTGCTCTGCAGCTCTAATCCAAATTGAATTGACAACCCTCACCTTGCACATGCCATAGTCTGTGAGTTTGATGTGACCTTCTGAGTCCAGCAGCACATTGTCCAGCTTTAGATCTCTGTAGATGATACCCCGCTCATGGAGGTAGTTGAGGGCAAGGCTAATCTCTGCTGAGTAGAATCTGAAAGAAAAAAAGGCCGATTTTATTTTGCTCCCTACAAAAGTCCTGTCCACAAAGAGAGAAACATCTCCAGAACCTCTGTCTTTTTTAATAATTCTACCTGGCATGTTCTTCTGGGAGCTTCCTTTGTCTCTGCATGTGGAACATGAGATCTCCACCATTCACATATTCAATAACGAAAAAGAGTCTGTGAAAAAAGTAGAAAAAAATTATATTTTCATGACATATTATAGAGAAAAGTACAAATTGTGTACATTTATTGAGATTAGTGAAAAGCACAGAACCACTGCAGAAAGACATGAGGGCACTGAACCTGGCTGTCATTATGACAGCCAAACAAAGTATGACAGTGTCATACTTTGTTTGCTTATTACTATGTTTTGTGTGTGTGATCTATCGTAGTAGTTTCACTGCATTATTGCCACACTAGTGAAGCCCTTGGGGAACAGAGAGGGAATGCGTTCACCTGCTTTCTGTCTGGAAACAGGAGTGAAGGCCCACCAAGAAGGGATGATTAGAGGCCTGTTCAAACACGTGCTTCTCTGTTTGGACCCAGTCGATGTCCTGGAAGACAAAGAGAACAAAGACACACCCACATGTCAGTCAGAAATCATCCTTACTTCATAACCTTGAATTTAGAAAAGCTGACAAAGCACAGAGCTCTATTGACCACACAACAAAACCTAAGGGCTGCAAGTGGGGGAGAGGGGCTCAATCAGAGAAGCAACAGTAGGGACAGGCGTCTATCGATGACAGAATAAATATGTCTGGACACAGATGTGTCTCACACTGTTAGGACAGGGAGAGCAACACTACGCCATTGATCTACAGGCACTCGTGAATTTGTCAATTGCACTAAGTGCACCTAATCAAGGCTAACTACTCTCATTGCCATAGGCGATGCTGTGGTGCGTGCTCGACTGGATCAATTTCTGATGACATGATGGTTTATCTACACCTTCTTAGAAAGACTGATGGCTGCAAAGAAGAACATCAACTCAGGTCGGAGTGTTTTGGACAAGCACACAATCACACTGGACAGGTCGTTATTGTGCTATGAATAATTACCTACATTGGCTGTACCTATTGGACTAATTATAGCGCAGGTAACATTAATGCTTCCCTGATAAATCGTTACATCTCTTACTGCTGTCAGTACTACGAGAATCTGGAATGCAATTTGGCACTGACCTGCAAACGACCAAAACGCAGTCTTTGTTAGTCAAAATTTAAGTCTGAATGTTTTTATTTTAGTTTAATTTAGATTCTACATATTCTAGATAGATTAGATTTAGTCAACTAAAATGCAATGTGTTATTTTGTTTTATGTTAATGTCTCTTTACAAAATCTTTCAATTGGACTTTTACAAAATTTAAACAGGAAACTATTAGATCCTGGCAGAATTCATACAACAACCCCCAAAACTCCAGGTCCTGAGTTCCTGGTTTACCTCGTCATCATTGACCAGCTCCTTCTTGACCACCTTCATGGCGTAGATGCGCTCCGTTTTCTTTAGCTGCACCAGCAGCACTTTGGCGTAGCTGCCTCTGCCGATCACTCTCAGCAGATCGAAGTCTGACAGGCCAAGACTTGAAGGCGATTTGCCCGTGTCTCTACTGCTCCGTGCCTGGGTGACAGTAATGGAGAGAAAATTGAAGGGCATGCAGTAATCAAGTGGACTCCGTGACAATCTTTCATCCTGCATTTACATCCATCAATCTCTCTGGACTATTTCTCCACCGAACAACTGATAGAAAACATTATTTGGTTTGGGAACGACAATTTCCTTTTGACTGATTTGTAAATGTGGTTTCGAGGACTTCCAACTCCACTTCTTATTCAACGCCATTTCATATTTTGTGGACCCAACTACTAACATCACTACATCCTCACCCTCCTTTCCTCCTCCTTCTTCTCTCTAATCTGTTCTGTAGGGACCCATCCTCAGGTGCAATTCATCTAACCTTCCTTCACATGACAACCTACTGTCTCCAGAGTCAGACATGGAACTGGAGTTATGATCATTTAGCTAGCTCTCGTTTATCTCTGTCCATCTGTTCCAACACAGCCCATTCTTCAACCCACTCCAGCCCAAAAACACAAACTATATACTTGACCATTAATCAGTATTTGGAACATGTTAAAAAAATTGATAAAAGATTACAGTATTGGCTCTATCAATGGAAATCAATACTCCTCAGCACTGCATGATGATCTTCTGCCTTTGTGCTCCCTCTATCGCACATCCACAGCAGGTAAAAGAGAACAGCTTAAATGTGCGACACACACAGAGCAAAATAACAAAATTAAAAAACCTGCTTTCAATTACAGGTGATCCAATTCCTGCTCTTCTTTACAAAAGACACAAACCCATTCTATAAATATACAGGGAGAGTTGCACACACTCGAATCCATCAAGTCAGGTCAACGAGACAGGGAGGAATTTCTCGCTCACCTCTTTCTCCTCTCCGTCGTAACTCAAGCTTTCTCTGGAGTCTTTATTCTGGGGGCCTGAGAGGCGAGAGTAGAATGTGACAGACAGAGTGAGAGACAGACAGAAGGAGAGAAGGCAGGGGAGATCAGAAAAGGAGAGAAAATAGGTGAGAGACAGTCACATGCTTTGTTCACAGGCCTACTGTGTGATAGTAATGTTTCTCTGTTTAAATGAAGATGGAAATCTGTACGAAGGCCATGGTGTTTAAATTTGACAGGTTTAAATTCAGTAAAGTTTCTGATGCTTTTTAATTAGTAGAGACATCACTTTGAAGTAAGAACTGATTTTAGAAAATGAATTTTTTTTTGCCAAAAATTGTAAAAAATAAATGAATCTCAGCAACAGTTTTTGATCTAATTTAATTATTTTTAATTTGAAGACACTTGAGCATCTATCTAAATGTATGAATAATTCATACACGTAGTATTTACAAGATTTTCAGCTGCCCTTGAGCGGACAGAAAATGTTGATATTTTTATAAATTTGTATTTAATTCTTTTGATTAGCCTCATTTTGGTAAATAATTACAACAAATGTTTTTTTTATGCGATTAACAACAAAATAAACTGCTACCATCTAGCTACTATTACTGCTGTTATATGTATAAATGTATTTGACTTGTATGCAGACACACTGGTGCATTACTGTGGGTGTTACCTGGTTGTTCACTTTGATCTAGCTGACTCGACGGGGTTCCTGGCATCATTGGTTCCTAGAAATCAAAATCCCTTGTTTAGTGTCAACAGGAACTCTCTGTATTAATAAAAAAAATATATACTATACTTCCATTTATCTCGTCCCTCACCTGAATTAACGGCCTGCCGCATTCCACTGTCACCAGTTTATGGCATTTCTTGTGCACCAGCAGTTTACAGTTGATGCATTTGTAACCTTGTCTACCCAAACCCCAGATTCTGTCCGTACAGATGGCACAGTGTGCTCGCTGCTCAGAAGGATGAATGGAGAGAAATCATCAAATCTTCATACATCACTCAGCCTAGAATTAAGGCAAAGAGATTCATGGAAACACTTTCTCACCCTGTTAAAGCGTTTGGCCTGAAAGGCATGACCACTGGCATAATAAAGTTTCCTCCAGCGCCGAGCTCCCCGCCGATATATCGATTCTAGAAACGTTGCAACAGGGAAAGAAAATTATTACATGACAAATCCTTTGACATGATGAAACACACAATTTCATTTTCATCTTTTTTTATGAAAGCTTTATTTAGGAAAAAACTATAACCACAACAATGACTTTCCACACAAATAACGTTAACAAAATGGCTACTTCATCTAAACAAAAATAAAGTCTGTGATGGATAAAACTCCCTTATTTCAATAACTGGTTTTTAATGGTTTATCATCAGCTGTAAAAAGAGTATTATTTACTTGTAGGGTGTCAGCCAATGCTGTCATTGTGATGACTAATATTGAATCACGGGTTGTTATTCCAGTTAAAAAACACTTCCACTTTAAACTGCTGTTGAACATATGTTGCTAAGAAATTTGTGAAAAAAAGGAATGGGGTTTGACTCACTGTCTTCTCCTGGACAGGGCATTCCAGGTTTTTCTGGTATACATGGAAACACTGAGAGGAAGAAAAAAAAAATTAAAATTCAGACAATATTTATTATATATAAGGGAAGCAAAAAAAAAAAATTTAAATTCAGACAATATTTATTATATATAATATATTATATATAATATTTACTCCAATTCATTCAACTGAAAAAGGAAAAAATTCATGAGGTCCTTTTTCCTTTTAAGAATGTTTAACTTCCTTTTATGACTAAATTAAGGGCTACATAGAGCAGGCCAGTTACCAGGTGGAGCTCAACATTCACCCTTCTTATGAACCAAAATGATGTCTTGTGTGCTAAAAAAAGAAGAATACGGGGAAAAAGATACACACCTCAAGGCACCAATTAAGCATGTTTGTATGTGTGTATAGGAGTGAGATAAAGCCAGACAGACTGGGGGTTGGGGTTAGTCACAGGCAAGGCATTTGCTCAGCAGACAATGTTGTTAACGAGCAGAGCTGGCGACCCCCACGGCACCGCCACATCCTCTTTTAAAGCCGCTCATCGTCTGCCGTCACACTGGCATCCTGCATTCACTTCACCACCGACCTCTCACCTCTGATATGATTAAAACTTTGCATCTGGCATTCAACCGCTAGTCGTCACTGAACCGAGGTTACACACTAACAAATACGCAGCCTGTCAATCAAACGTTTACATATAGTCCAATGTACTGTACACGCTTATCCACCTAAAATCAGAGTTAACCTTAAAAACCAACTCACATAGTTCAATCATCAGACTTAAACAGGGAAGTCAACCAGTTCCACACTGACGTCAAGGAAGGAAATTATTTACAGGTAAGTGTAAAACTTGCCACGGTTTTCCAACACACATAAAGTAGCTGTAGGTGCTTCAGAATCAGGACATAATGAACATAAATTAAGTAGTGCTTCAGAATCAGGACATAATGAACAATAAATGTCTATCTGTTATTATTACTGTACCCAGAATAACAACCATCAAAGATGTGTGTTAATATATAAATGCAGATAGAAGAGAATCTAAATCACAATTTAAAAAAAATCTTAATAGGTTTTGCATTTCTCTAAATCACAATTTTAAAAAATCTTAATAGGTTTTGCATTTCTATAGTATGACACATTAGGAAGAAAAAAAAATATTTTGCACAATTACTTGTTCAGTTTAGAACAAATGTCCCCTCGTTTAGCTCTCACAACCTTCTCTGTGTGCATATCAACAATAATTTACACTGTGCAAGTCTGCAAACGGAAAAACGGCAGCGTGTCGCAGCTGTTGCTGTGTTCCACAGATGTGCCTTGAGGGGCCAGAATTTGGCACCAATGGATTCAATGGAGGAGGATCTGCTTGTGATGCAACCACCAACCTTTGTGTGTGAAAGAAAAGCACTGGCAGGGAGATAAATCTATTGAATTAAACCTTGGTTGACTTCAAAAACTTTTCAACTGCTAAGATTATTGATATGGTAACATTTTGTATTTATAAGCTCACACGCCACACATGTGAAACCAGTACAAATAAAAATACAGACGAGAGCGCAGACTTTCATTTAAGTAGCCAATCCTCACTATCACAGTATCTCAGTGTCGAACAGAGTAACGCATAAGTCTTCTCATGTGGAACCTCTGACTGTCCAAACAGTTAATCACATCTTACTTGGCTACATGAACCCACTGTTAGTTAAACCATGAAACTTTACATATGAGGTTATAAATAGTCTGTGTGAAAGGCAGCATGCTCACCGTGGATAATGAGCTCCGAGTCTTTGTTGAGTTCATAGAGGCGAAGCGCTTCCTCCAGCTCCAGTTGAGACGACACTGTGCAGGGGTCACCTAACAGCAGAGGGCAGACTGGGTATTATTAATCACACGCAGAAAACCAGGTTAGTGGGATGAATATGACAAAAGTAAGATGAGAGAATCATCACATACAGTAATGGTGGCTCTTGCATATTCTATTTCTATATTCTATTTTTGCTCATATATAACCTAGACAACTTTTCCATTAAACACATTCAAAAATATGTTGCCTTTAAATTGGTTAAGTACTGTTTTCACGTATGTTCCTTTCGCTCACACTGAGCACTTACAGGAAACTAAATAGCAGACATAGTCATACCACTGACACCATCAAGCAGCTTTTCTTTTCAGACAGACTGCACTGACTTCATGTTGGTGGCAACTGGTGGGAGCTAAAGTGAATCTAATGAGTTAGGACAGGGTGACCTTATCCTGAGATAAGCGATCCAATGGCTGCATCTTTTCTTTGACACCATTTCTGCTGCCTGACTAACTGGCTGACGACTGGATTGGTTTGAAGGGACAGAGTACTCAAAAAAAAAGTACAAAGCCTTCCAGGCAAGTATTCATCTTCTTATGTGAGCCAGCAAGTGTGCTGGATTTACTATCGGGGATTTCAGGTTTTTAGCCAATCTTAAAATATCATACATTGTTAATAAGTTGTTAAGTGCAGAATCAAGGTGGGCAACCAACAGCTCCTCGTCTTTGTGACAGTGAGTGACTGACAGAAAGACATCGGGGCTGGTTTGGGATCAGTGTGGGCACGTATAAAAGTTTAATTTTATCATCTCATTATTCCAGTCAGTGGCTCTGATCAGCAAACAAAGGTGCAGTCACTCAGTAGCTGTCAGTCGCTATTAGTCGCTGTTGTTGACACGTGTCCCACAGCGCATCATTCACCCGATGCTACTTTTAGCATCAGTGCAGGGAGAGGCGGTGGCTTCCAGAGTTCAAGTGGAAAAAAAAAACTGGGTGGTGAGAAAAAAATAACAACTGGATCTGAAGCTGCTGATTGAACTTCCAGAGTTCAAGTGGAAAAAAAGAAACTGGGTGGTGAGAAAAAAAAAAAACAACTGGATCTGAAGCTGCTGATTGAAGATAACTAGATCTACACAGTAGACTTCAGTGAACAGTGTTCAGTAGATTTGATGCCTACAGTATGTATTGAACTATTAACACACAGTTCCTGACTACATGGTAAGCAATGTATTTTTGGTATATGTATGTGTGTGTGTGTATATATATATATATATGTATATATATATATATATGTATATATATATATATATACCAAAAATACATTGCTTATTTTATATAATACATAAATATTATAATATTATATATAGGAAATTGTCATATTGCACCTATTTGGAAATATCTTTGTTCTGTGACATTCTGGCAGATTTTTTTTTTTTATTGTTTTAAGTTGGAAACCATTCCCTGTTTCATAATAAAAATGCTTTTCGTGTTTTGTTTTTCCTTCTTTAGCTAGATTTAATCTGCTTTTTTGGCTCCTCCCCTCAGGGGGTCACAGAAGCAGATTATCTGCCTTCATCTCACCCCATCCCTTACCTCCCCTCCCCTGTTACCCCCACCCTAAACCCTATCTGTGTTCTTCCTCTTCTTTTGCCTGGCTGCTCCAACTCCAACATCCTTTGTTGGAGTTTCTTAATAACAATTGTACGACGTAGACTAATGCTTGAAGAATTCTGGCACCTGGTGAAGGGGGGAAAAAAAGCATTAACATAAGGAATGAAGTATTTTGTACCTTCCTCATCGATCCACTTCATGGTGAAGAGTTGGTCGTTTTCCATGGAGCACATATCTCTCACTTCTCCATACAGACCCTCATATGAGATGGATGGTTCGAAATGGGTAATCATGATGTCCCTGTAGAAAAAGTAAAGTGGTTAAATTGTCAATAAATGATTGTCTCCTTCTTCTGTTGTTGCAGTAGCAGATGACCTGCATTTATGTGATGCAGGAGATTTCACAAGCTAACGAGAGTGACATACATTTACATCTTATTGGACAAACTAACAATCATGTCTTCCAAAGTATTAATTGAACCCTTCACAGATTTACACTGCCTCCCTCTTGTTGACGTCATCAAAAATCTGCTTTGCAAAAAGTCACATCTTGACTACAGAGATTTTCGTTCTTCCAAAAGAACCTGCCTGGTGTGTGAGTCACTGCCTCGCTGCAGTCTGCCACATTTGTGTGCATCCATCTGAACATTGTGAATGTGACAAATTGATCGGGAGAAAAAAAAAAAAAAGCAGTCGGAACTGCAGAAAAACAAGGATACAGAGACCAAAGGAAAAGGACTAAACATAACTGAAAAGGCACCAGTGACTTCTGGGATTAAACCATCACTGCAATTGATTACTTCATTGAAAAAGCCCTGTCAGCCTTTAACCAACATGGACAACAGTCAGGGACATCAGTCATAAACATACCCACACATCAAATGAAACATGGAGTCAGTTGCTTCCACCGACCATCTTTTCATGGCATTATAAGGATTGATGTTGTCTGTTCTTGGCCCTTTTCATAAGGATTGATGTTGTCTGTTCTTGGCCCTGTGGCCAGCATTAACTGTGTTTATGACCAATGATAGGAGGATGGAGATTGTAGACCTGAACTTTTACAGGTCCACGGGGGACGTAGGTCAGCACTCAGGCATCAGAATCAAAAGCAAATGTAGTGATAAATACACAAAGGCAAACAGCAGTTACGTAGAAGTACAGATGAGGTGACATGCAACTACTGTCCAGGGAGTGACCCACAAGGACATGTACCGCTGTTCTCCTTTACGAACATCACCATAGAGGGGCTCAGATTTTCATCACCCTGAGAGCATAAAGACACGATGAGAGAATACCAGTACAGAGGGAAAAAATGCACACCTTCAAGGCTGTCTACTGTTCAAGTCCAAGGACCGTGTGTTGTGCATAAGGCCACAGACAGGTCATCTACTTCCAAAAGCAAATATATCCATGTAAAAATTATAATGTTATTTAGTAGTATATTTTTATTTCACAAATTATGACCAAATACAATTGTCCTTTTTTAAGAACTAGGCAAAATCCCATTACCAACTCAAATTTCTCTACTGAAACACTGTACAAGTCATCAATTTATCTCACCGGGTCGGTTTTATTTACCTCTCTCTCTTTCTGTGTGTGTGGGCGATGAGTTCAGACAGTCATGAGAAGATAAAGGGTGTGATATGACCACACATAGACACGTATAACAGGGTACTGCCATTTGTGACAATGTGTGGGTGTGAGCTGTGGGTGTTCATTAACAAGATTCACGCTGTTGTTTAGGTGAAGTGAAGTACAGCTGCGTTAACCAGTCATTAAAGTGACACTGATACAAGCTCACGTCAGAGGTTCCATAGTTACAGGAACATATTAGAGAGAGAGTGATGAAGGAACAGGAATACACAGATCAGCAGTAGAGGATGGATTAGAACACAAACTGTCCAATATTTAAATAAAAAAAGAAACTCACCTCAAATGAGGGCTGAGGTCTAACCTGACACATATGTTTATCATCTCCACTTTCAAAAGTTAAATCACCCAGGCACGAGGGTTGATCGAAATGTTCTAGGACAGGTATTAAAACATGCATGCAGTTCTTGTAAGCTTCAAAAATTAAAACATTTAACATCAAAGCAAAGCATGTTGTGGGATTCCTCAGGGTGACTAAGGCACAATAACTGTACAGTTTATCAGCAGTGAGTAACATGGAGGGAACTGCATTCCTCACAGGACTGGCATTCCACCACTGTCCTTCAGTGAAGCTAAACTAAACACGGAGGAGGAGCCTGGCTGCCCCTGGTGTCTCAACTGCAGTGAGTAGCAGTCAAAAGCCCCATCTGCCCAGCATGAAGCCATTTGTCACTGGTGAGTGCGTGAGCTGAAGGGAGAGTCAGGGTGCTTCTCTCGGCTTCTAGGAGCAGCTAAGATCATCCATCTCTCTGTCAGTGCTGCCACAGGTACAGGTGCCCTTTGCTGCACCTTCACCAAATCCACAGGCTCAGTGAACAAGAATAGCAAGTGAACACTGACTTGCACCGGTGAGACATATGTACTCTGCAATCACAGTTTCCCAAAACTTACATTTTTTACATTTACATTTACATTACATTCATGCAGGTAGCAGACACTTATTCAAAGTGACTAACGAGAGAAGTAACAAGCAAGATACATAAAGGAACTCTTGAAAAGAGACTTATTTAGAAAAGTTGGACTTCTTAACTCAGGTGGAGATAAGTGCAGAAGGAGAAGGCCAGCCATGCTAACCCAGCCACTTTCACCAACTCATCCTAACGCAAACCGTGGCTCCAACTAGTCCAGACTGCAGGATATTGTGGTCTCCAAGCAACTACGTTCACGTCTTCTACAGCAGGGAAGAACCACAAGCTTGCAGCACAATCTGACCAATCAAATGCAACAGTGTTGCGTGGGAAACTAATTTTTAACAAAAGACAAACACATGTTTGTAGATTTTTTTGGGCTTTTTAGACAACTTATAACATATTTGATGTTGAGGTAGGACAGCTGCCATTTCAAC